AGTTGGTTAAGCGTCTGCCTTCGGCTCAGGTCATGATCCCAGGGTCCTGGGATCGAGCCCCGCATCGGGCTCCCTGCTCTGCAGGGAGCCTGCTTCTCCCTCTGCCTCTGTCTCTCTCTCTCTCTGTCTCTCATGAATAAATAAATAAAATCTTTAAAAAAAAAAAAACAACAGGCCAAGTTAATCCATGATGCTAGGTGTCAGGGGAGTGGCTGCCTTTGGGGAAGGTGAGTGGAGAGAAGTGGCTTCCAGGGCACTGATCATGTACTGTTCATTGACACCAGCAATAGTTACAAAAGTGGGTTCACTTTGCGATAACTCATCGAGCTGTATGTGTATGGTGTATGTTGTGTGCACTTCTCTGTATGCATATTTTAAATACAAAGTTAGAAAAACCGCAAAACACATGAAAAGCCTGGTTAGACTAGGATGGTGAGACATTCTCAGGCCTTCCAGTTTTAAATAGAACGTCTGGTGGCTGAGAGATGTGAGGAGTCCAGCATAGTCTTCTGTGTACTGAGGAGTTAAGACTGGCAGTTTATAGGTAATACAATATTAAACAAGGAGACCCACCAAGATGCCTTGGTTTCTCAGGTAAGGAGACACCAAGACAAGACACTTGTCTTAAGGCTTTGATTTCTGACAAATTTCCATAGTTGATTTTTACGTATCTATTGAACCTGAGAGTTAAAATCAGAGAATACTTGAAATTTGCCCAAGTGATGTAGATAAGTCATGTGACTTGAGCGAAAACCAGAACTTAAAAGTGAGGCAGGTAGAGGGGCGCCTGGCTGGCTCAGTTGGTGGAGCATAGGACTCTTGATCTCAGGGTTGTGAGTTCAAGCTCCACGTTGGGTGTAGAGATTACTTAAAAATAAAATCTTAAAAAAAAAAAGTGAGGCAGATAGAATGGAAAGCTGCCTCACTTGTCCTGAAAAGGGTTCCAAGCTCTCCAACTTCCTTATTTCTCTAACTGGATCATTTTATAAACCACTCCATTTTGCCACCTTTATGGCTTTAAGCATTAATCTAAACAAGAGTTGCCATCACATCTTGAACCCAAATAACAACCCCAAATGAATAATCCTGAGAAGTCTACATCTTGTCCCTCGCATCTAATTGCTTATATGACTACACATTTACTTAATCTATTTTTGCTAATTTAAAAGTTATTCAAGCCAGTTAATGTTTATGCTTGGAGGCTATTCAAAGGTGATTACACATAACCCTTTCTGTGCTTTGGAACACATCCCTACTGTTTAAAAACATTCACAAGGGACAACCTTGAAGCTAAGTACATAAGGTCCCTCCAGTTCCCCAGGCTTTGCAATCTTTTATCCCCAAAGCATAAAAATGAACATGATGACTTTGTTCCCTATTCCTTCCATTAATTGTTAATTGATGCTTATTACATTATGGCTATCTCCAAGTCTCTTCAGAGAGTCTGAAATGCATGAAGTAATTCTGTGGTTACCTGTGAAAAGGAAGAAAATCAAGACCATGACCATTGTGTACCCAAAGTACAAAATGCTGCTTGCAATGCCCACGATTTGAAGTTTGGCAAAGAAGTAATGAACTGCATATATGAAAAGGTAAACAGCTGTAAAACTGCTGGTAAAAAAGGCTCTCCACCACCAATGATAATCCTGCAAAAAGAAATAGCAAAAACAACTTTTTAGGTGAAATCTAACTATAAATGGGTTAGGAATTATTGTCCTAAAATAGGCTTCATTAGATTATGCAGTAAAAGAAATAAAAGGGGAAGTTTTATAAGAAATTCAATGTGGGGGGCGCCTGGGTGGCTCAGTTGGTGAAGTGCCTGTCTTCAGCTCAGGTCATGATCCCAGGGTCCTGGGATAGAGCCCCCGCATCCGGCTCCCTGCTCAGCAGGAAGCCTGCTTCTCCCTCTCCCACTCCCCCTGCTTGTGTTCCCTCTCTCGCTGTGTCTCTCTCTGTCAAATAAATTAATTTTTAAAAATCTTTTTTAAAAAAGAAATTCAATGTGGTATACACTGTCTGACTAATGTACGTCTGCTTGGAGTGCCTTAACATGTATAAACTCTTTGTTTCCAGGGAGACCATGTGTGCCCTCGGGGTCTGCACTTGTAATGCACGCATCCTTTCTATCAGGAGCATCCTTTCTATTGGGACGCTGCCTCAGCCTTAGAAGGTTTTCCGGTCAGCTTCAATTTACTGGCCAGAGCTGCCTCAGGCTAGGTAGGAAAAGATTAGTATAGAAACTTCAGATAGAGCTTTATAGCAAATGCGATTTGTTTTACCCAGCTGAATTTGGGACCCAGGGAGGCATGACTGAGGTCAATACGCAAGTTCTGCGTATTCTACGGGCTCCTGATGATGCTAATTTTACTGTAGGGGCACCTGGCTGGCTCAGTGGGGAGAGCATGCGATTCTTGATCTCAAGGTTGAATTCAAGCCCCACACTGGGCGGTGGAGCCTACTTAAAAAAAAAAAAAAAGATGGGGCGCCTGGGTGGCTCAGTTGGTTAAGCATCTGCCTTCAGCTCAGGTCATGATCCCAGGGTCCTGGGATCGAGCCCCACATCAGGCTCCCTGCTCAGCAGGGAGTCTGTTTCTCCCTCTGTCCCCTGCTCATGCTCTCTCTCTCAAATAAATAAAAATTTTTTAAAAAATTTTTTAAAAAGACAGAAAAAAAATTTTACTGTAAAGGCACTGTGGTCGAGGGTCAAGGAGACCTACAGTACAGAAAAGAGTTAACATAGCAGGTCTGAAGTTACTATCTTTAGAAGGGTCTGCTTGCAAGGTTGGCCCTTGGTTTACATCTGGGAATTTGGCATTTAATCATTCCCTGACTGATAAGACTGGTTTGCTATACCTAGACTGTACAAACAATGTGATTTATGATGAGCACTTGCTTTCCTTTTGGGAGTCTGGAATTTTTGTAGTTGCTAGGCAGAGGGTGCCTATGTGACTATCTCCTAATGAAGACCTTGGATGCAGAGTCTCTAATGGGCTTCCCTGGGCACAAACATCACACATCTATTACTATATTTTTTACTGCTGGAGAAAGGAGCACAATTGATGTATCCTCTCGTGGAAAAGAGAAAGCATAGGAAGACTGTATGTAGATTTCTCCAGACTCCACCTGTGTCTTCTCCCCTTGCTGATTCGGTTATGTATCCTTTGGCTATAATAGGCCCTAGCCATGCATACATCTTTATGCTGAGTCCCATAAGTCCTTCCAGTAAGCTGCCAAATATGTGGGTGGTCTTGGGAGCCTCCAAAACATTTCTTTTTTTTTTTAACTAGGCTCCAGTGGGGCTTGAACTCATGACCCTGATATCAAGACCTGAGCTGAGATCAAGAGTCAGATGCTTAACTGACTGAGCCACCCAGGCACCCCATCTAAGAAATAGAAATATACACATCATATGCCTATGAAAATGCTCTCAGACATCATGTATATGATAACCATTCCCTAAACTCTCTATTGTCACCTTTAGAGAGTGACATTTAACTACCAAAACAAGAAGGATGTAGGGGATTTACGAAAATAATGTTCACTACCACCTTAATTATCCAGAATGACATCAGAAAAAAAAATGGGGGTGGAGTGGGGTAAACAGAACTATTTATGTCCATGGTAACCAAAAGGCATGAAATGAAAATAAGAGAAAGGGCCTTTAGCAGCAATCTCAAACCCATAAAACACAATGCTGGCCTAAGCGGAGAAAATTTTAATTGTTAAAAAAAAAAAAGCTACATTGAACCAGATCTTTTATATGTCCAAATATCAAATCAGTTCCCTATATTTTTCTATGTTAACTGAATATTATGCAGCAATTATAGTAACTAGCCAGAGAGAAATTGCTTTCTGTTTAAATTTTCCATCAAAGTCGCATTAACTTGATAGCTGCATCAAAATCAAAATGTGTCATCAGGAAAACACAATATAAAACTGATCCCACATTCTAGAAACCATGCAGTTAACAGTTGTTTCAATTCCTTTCTCAACACAGGCTTCTAATTCCAATAACACGAGTTTTGGAAGCACAAAATACATTCGTTTCTTAGGTCTTTACCTCAGCGCACAAATGGAAATAACACAGCAAAACTGTAGCTTCTGAACAGGTAATCAGGAGAATTATAAAGACCAAGAAAAGGAAGCCAAACATGAAGTACATCTGATGAGACCTGAAAATAAAAATGACAGCTTTAAAATTAACTTCACAGCACACAGAAAGCCCAATCCAAATCCATACAAGAGACGGCCACACTTCTCAAACCTTAGCAACTCATTCCAAACCTTTATCTATCCATCCAGTATCCAAAAGATACTCCCTGACCTGTGTGGCTTCAGAGTTCTGCCTGATCTTGTCCAGGTCGTATCTGTGTGGCTACTTACCCATAATTCTCTGCTCACGTCATTCAGTATTCAGTTGAGACCCATCAGTATCTCTGTCATTTTCTTTATGCACATTTTATTTTTTTATTTTTTTTTTCTTTATGCACATTTTAAACCGTGCTTTCTTTTTAGCAACGGAAGGTTGTAAGTGCAAAAATGCCAGCAACTACGTTATATAACACAAAACCACAGAATCAAATACTGCCTTGCCTTTGAAGCTCTATTGACAGGCAGCCTCCCCCAGTAGGTCTTGATAGCACAGCACACAAAATTCTATCAAATATACTTTCAGATGTGCATCTTCTTAAAGCTCTGTGTGTGGATTACATTTCTGCCAGACTTTGGAGGAACAAAGTCATTTCTTTCATTATTACAGAGCCGAGCTGACTAAATTGGGATGAGCAATTTTAAAAGCCTCCTAAAGAAAAGAAACTGAGGAACCAATCGATACCCCATTTTAAAATCTCCTGCAGAATGTATCCCTGGGCACAAGGGCGAGGGATGGGGCTTGGGGAAAATCATCTCTGTGGATAATGAACATATACAAAGTTGCATACAGCAAGCACACTCTGTTTCATTGAAATAAAACTTGTCTGAAGACTCTTCTAGTTTTCACTTGAAAATTATTTTCCCATCAAAAACATCTGGAAAATGTGGTTACTATAATCTATTTTGCAGCAGGTTAAATATTTAGTTGCTGACAAGGTAACAAATTTTATTGCTTATCTTTTAAACAAATTTGGCACAATGCTGTTTAAAAGGTGAGCAATTAATGTGCATGATTAAGCCTAACTTTTGAGGACTTGAAAGCTGTGTCTGAAAGACTGCTTTGGGACAAAAGCATTCTAAACACACACAGCTGGCTACTGCCTTAGATTTTATGGGGACTTTGCCCCATCTCCAAAACTCCCTCTGCAGCACCACCCCACTCGACCCGCCCCTGAAACGAGAATGCAGTCAAGAATCAGGAATTAAGAAAAAAAAAGGACTTGGAGAAGCTGAAGCTGTCGAACTTGCATCAGAGAGCACAGGTTCTTACTTTACATATCAGAATTCTTAAATCACGACAGTTTCAAAGTAACAAATAGAAAGAGGAACACTGTAAGGAGCAGGCATGCTGACAACAGAGCTAACAGCTGACAGACAGGAGAGCAGAAAAACATTACTTACAGCTCAGGACAGATGAAGACCCAGAGTCAGTGGTCTTCAAAGTATTTTTAGCAGAGGAACTCTGAAATCTTGCATGGAAGGTCAGTACAGAAAAGAGAGATACATCAGGGCTGCCTCTTCTCATCTTTAGGCGCCTCCTTCCAAGGGACACCCCTGCCCCACCCCCTGCAAAGGCTCAGAGTAGTACAGTGTGAGCCAACTTTCTAAGTCATCTGGAAAGGCTTAAAAAGAGGTTATTACTTTTTAAAAAGGAAACCTGCATAGAAATTTCCATCAAAAAGTGTCTTGAAAAACTTGTGAATTAAGTCAAAGTTCCCTAGGAAATTCCCCTGGGGTCAGATTGCCATTTCCTGGATTAAAAAGCGTGGGGGGGGTGTCAAATGAAGTTTTACCATACCAGAATTTAACCTCCTTGAAATACAGGAAAATTAATTGATCAACAATTAAGATTTTTTTGAGATTATGAAGATCCAATACTCACCAGATACTGTTCAGAATGAAAAAGAGTTGAATAAAAATACAGCCAAAAGGTAAAATGCCACCGATTATGATGCCAAAAAGTGGTCTGGTGAAGAAATTCTGCTGAGGAATATGACGGGGAATCTGGTTTGTGTGAACTGGATGCTTAAACTGCTCGAAAAGAAATCAAGTGAAAATCAGAATGAATGAAATTGAGGTGAATTTATATACATATAATCACAACACAGAATCCTGAATCGGAACATGACATGGAACACTTCCAAGAGCAGTCATGTGGGCAGAGCCTACACCACTGTGTGACAGAAATATAATACAAGCCATATATGCAGTTTTAAAGCTTTTAGAAGCTGCATTTTAAAAAGTGAAAAGAAATAGGCAACATCGGGGCACCTGGGTGGCTCAGTCACTTAAGCATCTGCCTTCAGCTCAGGTCATGATCCCTGGGTCTTAGGATCGAGCCCCGCATCGGGTTCCCTGCTCAGTATCCCCCCAACCCCACTCGTGCTCTCTCTCACTCTCTCAGAAATATAAACTAAAAAATTTTAAAAACAAATAGGCAGAATCAATTTATGAATACATTTCATCTAACACCTCCAAATATTATCAGTTAAATTTGTCATCAATATAAAAAGTATATATATATAGAGAGAGAGAGAGAGAGTTCATATGACATCTTTATCCATTCATCTGCTGATGGGCATTTGGGCTCTTTCCATATGTTGGTAATTGTGGACGTTGTGCTATAAACACTGGGGTGTGGGTGCCCCTTTTGACAATATGTCCCTTTAATTTCATCCAACAGAGATAGACAGAAATATAAACAACCTATAAAGTGGGAAGTACATTAAATAGTGTCTTTTTTTTTTCCTTCTTTTTTTTTTT